TCCTGGTTTTAACCCTCACAAACAAACTATTGGACTTCTTCTTCACATCCCTATTTTTTTCCCCAGCTAAAGTGGAGTTGTTGAAGAGTTTATACAGAGCACTTGCCTTTTATAATAAAAATTACAGATTTTTTTGTACATTCTTGTTCAGTAGTCCTTGAAGAATGGGTTATTTGAAAAGTGATTCTTGAAACACTGAAAAATACTGCCATTAGAAATTATTTCTTCTGTCTAAAATTACAGCACAAGTTCATTAAGTAACAGGTGTATTTTTACAGTGTTGGAGTAATCCATTCAGCCAAATCAATAGCAATGTGGCAGCCATATGATCATCCAATATTTATGTGTCATTTAAACAATGGCCTTTCTGGATAAACTTTGTGCTGTTTCCAGTTCTAACACAGTATAGACACAGACAGCTGTTTAATTTGTCAATAAATGTACTAAGTAACTAAAATTAATTATCATTAAACCAAATTTTTAGACAATATATTCTCTGTTATTAAGAGGAGGCAAATAATTTAATAACCTTTTCTTTCTGTGCTGAATAATTCCAGTGCACAAAAAAAAGAACACTATGTATTTGTAAAAGTTGTATTGTAAAAGTTCCCATCTAGTCTTCCCAAAAAAAATACAGAGGCTTTTTAAACCTAATGTTTCCCCAAATGAGAGGACAAGAAGGGTGCACACAGCAGATCCTTTTCAGCTCCTCAYCAGAGTCCTGGCTTGCTTTCTGTTTTGCAGAAGTCCATTTCTGGGTATTAGAGTTGGGATGAAAATGCAGCAATGTATSCCAGAGGCAGAAAGGCATTTCAAGAGAATTTGAAACTACCATTTTGAACTAAAAAGTGTTCCAGGCATTCCAACTAGAGCCAAGAATAAAACTTTCAGTATTATTAATCAAGAGTCTGATTCTTTTTTAAAGTATGTAAGCAGGGGAAGGAACGATATCCAAAAAYGTTCACCAGTGTTCCCCGGACAGGAAGAAGAGTCACAAAGGGAAGGCAAGGAAGGAGCAGAAGATGGGTACATGAAGATATTTAAACTTTTGACAACAGGTAGTAAAACTTTGTGAGGCATAAAACTTGTTCTACTTTTCATAAAGGGCAGCTCAGCTTTCAGAAGTTTGGGAAATCCTYTATTAATCTTTGTCAAATCCACACCTAGACTCGGAAATGTTGAGGCAAGCCTTTAAATCCTAAATATGCYTTTACATGTGCCAATCTTGTCTAGGTTTGTGGTTTTCCCTTATACACTGAAAAAAAACCCCAGGAGATACCATAGCAGTGCTTAATGTTTATTTTCATTATTTTCACCTACTGATGTTCAAATTACACTGTGTGAACTGGTAACTCCTCCTACACCAATCACCTTGCCTATTGTAAAAATGTGAATATGCTGAAGTAAATAAAAATAGTATTAATGGTATATAACTCAGAACTGTTTCWGTGCGTCCACACGTGCTTGAAGCTGTATACCAAGGGTAATTCACCTCTGAAACTTCTTGCTGTTGTGGATAGGTGGTTTCTGTTCGTACATCTTTAAACCAGACAGAATGAGGGATGATGTGAAGACACTGCCTTCTGGAGCAAGCTTATCAAAGCCTATTCAGGTTTAACTTTTGCCACCTCTCATAGGCAGCTTGACTAGGAGGCTTGGCTGAATGTTAATGCAGCTGTTCACTTAAAAATCATCCTGTGTCTGATTCTTTGTCCCAATTGCTAAAGAAAAGTATTTTATTGAAAGGAACCCAAGAACTCCAAGTTGGAGACAAGCAGGTGGCCAGAGCCCATCCAGGCTTCCAGAGTTGTTCATGGATGTGTTGGAAGAGCTGAGGAACTGAGGTGATCACATGAGGTACTGGGAAGGGGGGTCATGGCAGGTGCCTGCAAATGTCTTTGGAGAGCCCGAGAATGTTCATACAGGACCTGGCTGTGGCAGTGTGAGCTGTCACTGGGACAGTTTTGGGGTAGACTCCAGGATGAGATACTTGGGCCCCAGAAGTCAGAGGCACAGCAGAAACCATGGAGGGGTCCACTGGCACACAAGCAGCTGTTATTCCCAAGTRTTTTTTCTCTTCTACCTGCATTCAAACCAAAGTCCGCAGAGTCCTGCATGGTGGTACAGCTGCTCTAGGATAGCTGAATTTGAAAAATCCTGATTTTTTAAGACACCTATGTAAGAAATTGTGATGGTGATTTGTGGTTTGCATCCACTGTGTGTAAATCGACAAGAGCCATCCAGCCCAGCGCAGGCTGAGTCCCTCTGACCGTGGGGGCGGTGCCAGCAGCCGTAGCAGGCAGGGTCCCATGGAGGCGGCAGGTCTCTGGGAGCCGTGCCCCTTGCGCCTCAGCCCCGTGGCTGAAGGTAATTCAGGCTCCGGCCCTTTGCATCCGGGCCGCCGTGCTGCCCCGGTGCTGCCTGTCCGGTGGGCCCAAGGGCCGCTCYGGCCCCCACAGCCCCGCCGGTCGGGCCGGGCTCCTGGCTCTGCCGGCCAAAGCTCTCTGCTGGGCTGTGCTTTTCCAAGCGGCCCCTGGCCCGKCTGCGCCGCCGGGAGCACCCCGCACCCCCCGCCGGGGCCGCGCCGCCCCCCGCGCTGCAAATCGTCTCTGGTGTCCCTTTGCCTTACACTAGAACGTAGCGGTAGCCCATTTCTCATGGAAATAATGCTTTGTGTAACTGAATTGACATTTGGCCTTGATACCTGTATCTCCTGATAACTGAAACAAATTTCTAAAATAAATATTGTACTTTGATCTTCCAGCCCTGCATTTTTAATGACAGCTCTGAACATCACTTCATTAAGAATACATTTCAGGAGACTGGAATGCTCCGAGTTTGAACACTAATTATTAGTACAGAAAATTATGACTGCAACGTTTCATTTTTCAGCCCATTGGTTTCTTCCAGAAATGAGAATTTATTCTCGATTTTTAAGTAATGTGCTTTCTTGGATGCAGATTTATGGCATTTGTAGAGTGGCAGCTGTATAGAGACTTCTCCAGCTTTCCACTAACTCTTTTGTAACTTGACAAATCGTTTTGGTTCGTCGAAATATCTGGGGAGATAGCGTACTTTAGAGGATGGAGGAAACCTAGGCATGTTCAGTGTCTCCTGAGCTACTTATCCACTCTCATTTCGTTTAGAAACATTATTCTGCGTATTCCTCTGGCAATTATCAGGTAAAACGAATTAACAAAAGTCGAGGTAGGAGTTAAATCTGGTATTTCGCAGTACTCCAATTTTGCCAATTGGGGATACAGAGGTTTGGGAACAACGCAAATGCAGCGCCGCCGTTTCGCTTGTCTGGCGGGTTACTGCTCCTCCAGGGAGCAGAGGTGCGGATCGGGCTTCTCCCGTCGGAGTTGCCCCTCGTCTCCGGCTGCCCTGGCTACAACTGAGACTCGAGGGGACAGCGAGTGCGCTCCTGCCCCGATGCGGCTCTAGTGGCGCGGCTGGAGTTTGGCAGTGAGCGGGRGGCACCCGACGGCCGCGGTCGGGGGTGTGAGGAGCCGTGCATGTGTTTGCCCTCCCGGCCGCGCTGTCGGCCGAGGCTCGCTAGGGTTTYCCGTTTCCCGCCATGTCCCGTGTGGACGCGGCGCAGCCCCCGGATCGCCCATCGGCGGTACTGGGAGGCGTTCGTATGTGGTGGGTGGAGGTGCCGGACCCCGTGAGCCCTGCACCCTGGCACACGGATGGGGAACCCAATCGCCCACAACTTCACCCGCTGGCGGGCCTGCTGCAGGGMCGCGGGGTCCTGCAGCAGCGGTGAGCCCTGCCTCAATGCATCAGTGCGTGGTAAAAGCGCTGGGTGCGGGACCCTTGTCTCCCTGTTGCCGACCTGGTGAAGCGGTTACCTGGCACATGGGAAGAGCATGATACGGCTGCTGCGTAGTGTTACACGGGGTCGAGCTTTCATTTCTCCCTAGGACTCAATATGGAGCCGTGGGAGAGGACTTGGCACTTTAATCCCTTCAAAGAAACCGATCTAATTCAAGCCCTACAACTCTTGAAAGTCTTTGAGCGGACAGTGATTGTTTCTACAGGAAAGGCAGATAAAGATCTCTGTGTGCTGGCGTTTAAAGAGACTTCAGTGGCGGTGCGAATACAATTGAACCCAGCGACTGCGGGGAGGATCGAGTTACCTGTGCAAACAGCTCCGGAGGACCAGAGCCAGCCGGCATCTGCCCGAAAGGGTACCCCCACCTCCTCAAGGCGGAGATGAACGTCCTGGTTTGGTACCTGGCCAAACATGCCGGCGTTTGCGATGGCCTCGGAGCAGATGGGGAAGCGGGGAGGAGAGGAGCGCGTTTCCAGGGCCCCCGGCGGAGCGCGGAGGTGAGCGGGCCCGCGGAGAGGCGCGGGGCCCCTCCTGCYCCTCGCTGGGCGGCACATGCGAGGGGTCCCGCTAGCCCTGCAGCCCACTGAGCTCAGCAGCCGGCGGTAGCGGCAAGCTGTGACCCAGATGTGCCTAGTGCTGGTTAGGGGGTCAACAGCCTCACACATGGTCGAACGCAAAGCAGGTTAGATCCTTCATACACACAAGCGTATAGACACGTATAAATAGAGGCCGAAAGGTGCGGGGTGAGGTTACAGAGCCGGCTTTGGCTTTGGGACAGGAGCTGAGTGAGCAGGTGAGGCAGAGACCCGGTAGCAGCGTTCGTGCTCCCGAGTAGCCGCCCCGACCTGCTCTCCCCCCGGCGCAAGACAGGCCGACTCGGCAAGTCCGCCAAGAGAGACTCCGGTCTTCATTTAGAGAAATTAGGTCWTTTACACCCGGCTCCCGCTGGGGAAGAGGAAACTTTTCACTTCTGTTTCCCGGCTGCCCGGTTTGTCGGTGTGTCTGTCTGAGAGAGCACTTGCTGCCGGCGGCAGTTCGCCGCTCCTCCCCRGGTCCGGCTGGGCGCCGGGCCTGGCCCCGCGCCAGGCTGGGGCTCCCGGTATCAAGGGGGCAAAGCTGGCTGAGCGAAGTGAAACAAATCCAGCTACCAGAGGAGAAAATGTGCGGTTATTTGCGGAGTCATATCGAGGGCATACCCCTCAGCCTCGGGGGAAGGGCGGGCGGAGGGAGGGAGCGGGGAGGAACCACCGACAATTACTCCAGGGAAGTTTTACGGCTGGGATCGACCAGCCCCGATCAGGTGAACTCGCTGTGCTCTGTTACTTTGAGTTATTAAATACTATCAGAGGAATCCGGAGGTAGATTTCTCGAGCGATAACAAAGACGCGTTGTCACTTTAGGGCTCTGCCACAAATTTAATTGGAAAAAAAAAATTTWAAAAAGGAGGGGGGATCCAGTGTCTTGCACATCCAACGCGAGGGTCTCTAGGCGGTAAGGGATCCTTTGATCAAGAAAATCCAATTATTTGTGTATATACATTTCCCACATAGTGATTACTTCATTAATTGTCCCGCCTTTATCTCCTCCCTTCCCATCCCCCYTAATAATCAGTTCTTTTATCCAGACCAACAAACACACCATAGGAGCTTTGTGGATTCAAAGGATTTGCTTTCGCTTCTGAAAGAGCCGCTATTCTTTGATGATTGGGTAGCGGCAAACTTCAAAGCCATAAATCTTCCCTCTGACTGGTTGGCGGCCCAGCAAAGTCCTTATCAAATTCTTGGAGGTGATCCTGGCGCAGTCAGACAGTCCGCGGAGATCGCGCAGCGCGGGGGGGGTGGGACGCGCACGGAGACGAAGAGATCAGAAGGAAAGGAAGAGAGAGGGGGAGAGAGAAGGAAACTGGGCAGCTTCTCATCTTCCCCTCGGCGTCCTCATGCCTCGCCAGTGCCCCGGCGSCTTCCCTTCGCCCCAGGCGCAGTAGCCATGGCCGCGGTGGCTGTCCTCCGGAACGACTCCCTCCAGGCTTTCCTCCAGGTCAGTACCCGCGCCCGGTGTGGGTCGCGCTGCGCCGAGTCCCGCGCTTGTGACCCGCATTGCGCGGGGGCAGCTGACATCAGCCGCCTCCCTCCCGGGGCTGTACCGAGCGGGCGGCCCGGAGGGATAAGTGGTGAGGGGGCCGGGCTCGGGCTTTTCGGGCCGCCAACTTCCCTCTCCCGCCAACAGCCCGTCAGTAACTCCAGCAGTGCTCCGTGGCAAGGGATGTGGGGGGCGCCCCCCTGCCCACAGCGGCCGCTTCCCCGGCCCAGGAGCAGCGGCGGGGCCGGCGGCASTGGCCGCAGGCGGGACCGGTGTCGGGGCGGGGCGGGGGGGCCGGGCCCGTCCTGCCCCCTGGGTGCGCGTTGTTTTCGGAAAGTTTACCGGCCGTGTAGGGGAGCGGCGGGGCGGCCCCAGGCGTGCACGGGGAGCGGCGCGGGAAGTTTCTCGCGGGTCGGTGTCGGCGGGCGGCGAGTAACGCGCTTTCTTCCCTCCTTCTCCCCTCCCTCCYGTTCCTGCCCAGGACCGCACCCCCAGCGCCTCCCCAGACTTGGCCAAGCATTCGCCCCTGGCTCTTCTGGCCGCTACTTGTAGCCGGATCGGGCAGCCGGGCGCAGCGCCCTCGGATTTCCTACCGGTCTCCTACGACCCGACGCTGGGATCCCCCTCCAGGATCTTCCACCCTTGGAGCGGCGAGATGCCAGCGCATTCCCCGGGCGGGCTGCCGCCGCCGCATCCCAGCTTGGGGCTCACCCCTCAGAAGAACCACCTGCAGCCCTCCTTCGGGGGGTCGCACGAACTGCCCCTCACGCCCCCGGCGGATCCCTCCTACCCGTACGAGTTCTCCCCCGTCAAGATGCTGCCCTCCTCCATGGCCGCCCTGCCGTCCAGCTGCCCGCCCGCCTACGTCCCCTACGCCGCCCAGGCCGCCCTGCCGCCCGGGTATTCCAACCTGCTTCCGCCCGCCCAGCCCTGCCGGCAGCTGTCGCCCAACCCGCCGCCCGAGGACATCCCCTGGTGGAGCATCCAGCAGGCCGGTGCCCCGGGCGGCTGCGGCCACCGCTTCCCCGCGGCCGCGGCGCTGCCACGGAGCTTGGTGCTGGGACATTCGGACTTCGCTCAGTACCAGACGCAGATCGCCGCCCTGCTGCAGACCAAGTCTCCCCTGGCGGCCACGGCCAGGAGGTGCCGCCGCTGCCGCTGCCCGAACTGCCAGTCGGCCGCGGGCAGCGCCCCTGAGGCGGAGCCGGGCAAGAAGAAGCAGCACATCTGCCACATCCCCGGCTGCGGCAAGGTGTACGGCAAGACCTCGCACCTGAAGGCGCACCTGCGCTGGCACACGGGCGAGCGGCCCTTCGTCTGCAACTGGCTCTTCTGTGGGAAGAGTTTCACCCGCTCCGACGAGCTGCAGCGGCACCTGCGGACTCACACGGGCGAGAAGCGCTTCGTCTGCCCCGAGTGCGGGAAGCGCTTCATGCGCAGCGACCACCTGGCCAAGCACGTCAAGACCCACCAGAACAAGAAGCTGAAGGCAGCGGCGGACGGCGTCAAGCGGGAGGACAGCCGCGACCTGTGACCGCCGGGACCGCGGGCGGCTGCTGCCTCTGCGGGCCGAGCTGCGCCACAGCGGGACCCTGACTGGGGGCGTTTCGCCGCCGGGGCGGGGCGGCGGCAGCGGGGAGAGAACGGCCGACTGTCGGACTCTCGCCGGGTACGGCGAACAAGACCCCAACTGGGGCGGCCTCCGCGGACCCTCAGGCCCGGGACTGGACGCTCATAGGGCCCCGGGGCAGGYGCCCGGCACGGAGTGCGACTGAGGGGGAACCCTGGGCGCTGGGCCACGGGGGCAAGAGCGGGGCCATAGACACCCGGGGGTGAGGTGGCAGCGTCGGTGTGGCCGTGCTGGGGCTCGGCCCTCGGTGCTTTCAGGRTAACAGACTGAAGTTTTGTGTACAGATTATTTAATAGTTAAATTTGAATACACGTGTTCTTCTCCGTCTTCGACCCCGCGCGGGGTCCAGCATGAGATGTTTCTGTAAAGCGACCCGCGACCGCAGCGTGAAATAAACACGTTCACACCGGGGTCAGCAGGGACGGTCCCGCCGCGTCGGTCTCGTTTGATCCTTCCCCGGGTGCCCCGCGCGGCCGCCGCCTTCCCGCCATTTTCCGCTGAGGCGGYGGGTCGGGTCCGGCTCCACCGCGCAGGCCGAGCGGAGCTCAGCGCACGGTGACCTGACAGCTGCTCATGGTAACACCTCTAAAATCCCGGGAGCTGCTTCGGACGGGTGTGCCTGCTTGGCTTAGGTTGGTGGGTTGGCTTTGTGTTTGGGTTGTTGGGATTTTTWAACTATTTTTATTATTTTGCTTCCTACACATGAAGCTGAGAGAGCAAAGAGAAATGCGTGGTGCCAATACTGGGAACGAACATGCAGATCAAGTTCTACAGACTGGAATATATATTTGTGCAAAAGTGGGCAGCAGTCAGTGTTAGTGATGCTCCTTCTGAGAAAGGTCCAGAGGCCATAGGGCCAGCCACCAACAGCAATTCCCAGCCTAAGTTGTCTGTGGTACAGAAGAGCCCAAGCATGCTTGCCGTATGTTAACTTTCTATAAAACTGTAGAATTTAAGGGCTGAGGTGCTTGTACTGCCAGTGCCACAGTCATTGTCCTGCAGAAGGGAAGATACTTGGCACAAAAYTGTTTAAAAATACCTGGTAGATGGTGACAGCCTTTAGGGTTTATTGGCTCCCACTGGGCATCACGTAAGTATGGGTTTAAGCATATTTCTTTTAAAATAATAACCTTTCTTACTGCAGCGAATTCTCTATTTATTTTTTTCATTGAAATCTATATAGCCAAACAAATCAATCAACCTGATCAACAATTTACTAAATTTTGCATTCTAACATGGCGCATATGCTATTTGCTCATATTTTACAACATGAGCTTTATTTTCTGATTACCTAATGAGACAGCAAAATGAAAAGCACCTTCAAAACATCACTGAGACTAATCGGGAACTGTTCAGCTTCAGGTGAGAACCTCTGGTGGCAGTTGTCAAGCAAGCTTTGGCACAATCCTGTTGATAAAGGTACACTTTGCCATGGACTTCCGAATCAAGAAAGAACACAGCTTGATAAATGTTTGTAATAACAGGACATGTAAATCTAATGTGTTTGTATGTGTGTCAAATACTGCCAAGAATCTATTCTCTCGGGGAATAATGAGATGAGACAATGCCATGAGAATCCTCATATCTAAAATAATGAGAAGTTAATGGACAGTTACCATGATACAACTCCTTAACAATATTTTAATATTTATTATTCTGAATTAATTGCCCACACCATATTCTTAGGGTCACCTTACTAAATTAATAACCAACCAGTTGTCTTCTTTTCTATTGAAGAATCTTCTATAAACTGTCCTGTTATAGAAAACATTGAGAGGAATATGTTTAGTTTCATTAGYTGGCATTTCTTTGCCAAAGATTTAGGTGTCAGAAGTGTGTGGTTGAGTGATATTAAGTAGAAGATATCTTTAGTGTTCCAGATTGAGTGACAGTAAGGCAGGAAATAACTCATGGACCTGATTCAGAAGTCCTYAGTCAAAAAGGTCTTTGACACAAAAATGGACCCCATTTACTGCTGATGTAGTATTTAAACATTTCATCAGGAATAACAATGTTTATGCTTTTTAAAATGTTTCATGGCACACAGTGGTAATCTCCTTCCTTTATTTGATACTAAGTTACATTAAGAATATAGAGTTAGAGAATTTAAAAGAGAGTTTGTTTCACTAAACAGTCTTTCGACTCTGTGTTTGCATCGAAAGTACTTAAAATGGAGAGTAGTGGAAAGTGCTTTTGTTGGTAGCAGTACAGGAGAAACAACAGTATCCCACAGTATGAAARGTCTCTTAAAGAATAGAATAGTTGTCACATGGTGATGGCCTTTCACCGCTAAGTGTGTGCCAAGATGAAGTGTTRGCGTGGGTGAAGCAATGTCTGAGATGGTGTCTGGTGCAAGTTTAGCCTAACTAGGAACTGGAGAACCGTTCCCCTTAGAGCAGATGTAGCTAGCAGAAATTAGCCCGATAATGGTAGTTTTGATGGTTTCTAAGCTGGACCATTATGCAAAGTTGTTTTTTTTTCCAGTTTGAAGACACGTTGAATTTGCCAAGTATCTATGTTTCTGGTCTAGCAGACTGTTTTGGGTTCTTATTCATTCCACAAGACACAGCTTGTACTGCAATACTGAAGGTTTTACCGCTCACTTAAGGGTGAGCCTGGAAGTAATTTAGGTTTTAAGCAAAAGACCATTGCCCAGGCAGTGCCAGCACCATGTCAAGGGTATGCAATGACTGCATGACTGCATCAAAGCATGAAAGAGCACAGGTTAAAATGCATACAGTCAAAATTAATTAAAAGCCYGACATGAGAGAGAGATACATTTAGGCGAAAACCCATAGTATCAAAGGCCAATTAAAATCTTAATCTGTAAGAATAGCACGCACACACACACATGCAAAAGACAGTGAATTAGGGACTTATTATTACACTTACTTAGGTAAGTGAAACTAACAGTTTAGAATATATAAAAAATTAATCGAATTATTTATCTGAAAAACTTCTAAATAGTTCATTGGGAAAAGGAGGTATATATGCATCATAGCTGTTTCATACTCATCTGTAAATAGCTAAATCATATGATAGCTTTTCAATTGAAATCATTAAACTTTTTTAGTAATATGACCTTTAAATATACATGTGACCTTTCTGATTTATAGGTAGAGCATTACAAAAATATATTGCTTACATCTCAAGAATTTATTTCTAGTTGGCAAATTGCACTCCATAATAAAATTAACTTTTAATTTTGCATTCACAAAATACATTTTATACTTTTAGCTGTTTCCAATCAACTAGAACAGCTGTTAATTTTATAAAATTGTATGATTAATATTCTTCTTAATTATGAATTTTGAGTACGTATGCTGCTCAAGGTCAATTCAGTTCCTAATTTTAAAACTTAAATGTCATTGGTATAATAGACATATCATATAAAACAATTCAGGTGGTAATTAATTCAAATTAATCAATCTCAATCAAAAAATTGCATATTGTCAAAAAAACTTGGGATTTGGTCTATTTTCTATGTTGAAAACTGATTTTCACATTTGGACAAACTTTAAGCAGAGAACGTTAAAAATACCCACAACTGACCAACATTGTTTTTCAGATGGATTGGGTTTTTTTAATGTGTTATTCATCKAATTATTTTAGTCAAAGCCCAAATAGAATAAAACTTTCACCTGGGAGAGGGTTGCAGGATTGACCTTTTGGTCCCAACTGATCAGATTTTCATTGCAATAATCCAACAAATTTATAAAATTATGTTTTCTACCTCCTCAACTACTATTATAGAAAAAAGTAAGATAAAGGGGCTTTTAAACTCTACTGGGAGATGTGCTTTCTAAAACTATCATAGTGTAATTCTTCCTCCCATATTAAATTGAGGATGTGATTTTTGAAAGAAATATTTAATCTTCGATTGTTTGCAGATTTTAAGAGATTGCATTTTGAAGTAACTACAGCGTAACTATTTCAGTTTGTAAATTTGCCTATCTAGTATTAGTTTTGAATATTGAATAAACAGGGAATATAAAAYGCTGCTGCCTTCAAATTCTTAGATGAAAGATACCTTTTACTGTTCAGTGATATCCAATGGCTCAGGAGACCACTCTGAATTTCATAAACAGGGCAAATTTGTATCTCTGTGCAAGCTGTTGCACAATTATTGAGGCACTTTTAAATGAGCCTTGTAGTATTTAATAGATCTCGTCAGCCTATCCTGCGGTAAAGATGTGGAATCTGCCACTCTGGCACATGGTAGAATCAGCTCAAAGACTGATTAGATTTTTCTGCCAAACTTTTTATAAATACTTACCAAACAGGATCCCTAAGTCTTCAAGACGACTGATCTTTCCTTCAAAGGGATTGCCTAGCAGGTATCTTCAATCTTCTGTGTTTTTAAATATTGTCCTAGCCATTGAGGACTTGGAARTGTGCAGCCACCAGCAATGCTCATCACTGTCAGGTAAGTGTTAGTATGCAGTGTAGAGAAGAAGGATCCAAGGCCCTAGGCTGATAGTAGGAATAGTCTTGACCAGGGAAAGCAGAAGTGTATTTAATTAAAACAGTCATTTCAATAACATTATGGGATTTATTCCCTGTTAAAATTTGCTCCCAAATTATTTGAAGTCACGTAGTTGTTTCAGGATGAATAAAGAAAATCAAAGTCAACATGTATTTTGACATTCTGGCTCTGACAAGTCAGTAGGAGATTATGGATAGTGAGATTTCGCCTTTAACCTGGGGGACATTAATGCTGTTTTTCTTGTCACCATTTCTTAATATCTCTTGTGTTACACATTTACTTAAGTACACACAAAATCCCATCGTGTCCCTGACCCAGGTCTGGTGATTACATCATAGCTTAGCGGTGTCAGCAGGAGCCAACCTGAGGCTGCATACAAAGCCTGTGTGCTCCTGAGAAAGGTTATGGACATCCACTCAAAGGTATGTAGGTATGTAGTAGGTCTCCTTCTTCTCTTCAGGTGATTGTGGGGTGCATCCTATGCTGCAAAGTACTGAAGTTATTGGCCAGGCCCTTCTGAAGTCAGGTTTGTACTGAGGTATGAACTGAACAATCTAAGTGCACTCTTTAATGGTGCAGAGGCCTTGTATAGATTCAGATTCTACAGTGCTGCTGTCTTGAAACTCTTAGATGAAAGATACCCTTTACTGTTTAGTGATATTCAATGATTTTGGCAGTCCACTCTGAAGTTCATAAATAGAGTAAATTTATGCCTCTATGCAGATAGTTATCGAGGCACTTTTAAACGAGCTATGTACAAAGGCAGTTCATCTTAAGCCACCTTTTCTGGATGACTGGTCATGGCTTTTATGGCCATTAATGCCAATACTTAGCAAGTAACTCACTTTAGGCAACATCCTAATTTGCCCTTCCTATCAACTTGTCCCATCAAAAAAATGCAATCTTTTTTGCATTTGCGATTTTCTGTTGTCACTGAATTATAGACTTTTAACATGACAGTGTCTGACATGTCCTGAACTGGCATTTAGTGGCATTTAGTATGGAGGAATGATGAGCCTCAAGGGTAAAAACCCCACTTTTATTTAGGATACTCATATTCAAATGCCATAAACTTATATTTTTCACAACTTGAAGATTTCTGTTTGCAAATACCACAGTCAATAGCTGGATCAGAAACAACATYGTGTACCTATGGTTTTGCATTTTTGAAAGGTAGGGTTGCCTACAAAAACAATATATTCCTATTATCTTTAAGTCCATGTTCTTATAACAGTAGTGGGCTGTTTAAACAATGTTCTAGTATTACCTGTGTACTACTCAAAAACATTTTTCATTTTCCTTTTTAACACAAACCAGGTACCACAGAGTGCACTTGCAAAACAGTTTCTAATTATAAAGGAGGTTGAAAGAAATTTTATTAGCCAAAGCCCAGATCACTTGGGGTCATATCCCACATGYTTTTTTCAGGATCAGATGGTGTCCCTGTGATCTCCACATGCAGATCTCTCATCTGTATGGAAATGGGATGTCAGTCACGCTGCTTCATTCACCCTTATTTTGGACAGCTCTCCACAAGTCCAGAATCTGCACGTGAAGAAGAGAAAGAAAATKCACTGTTCACTCATTAAAGATAGACAGGAAAGTCAGAGAATGTCAGGTGGTCTCAGCTATCATATGTTAATCCCAAAGGAGTGTCAAAATGGCTTCCTTTCTTCCCCTCRCATCTAAATAATTAGCTTTTCTTCTGAGCAGCAATAGCTTTGCTCTTGTTTAATTCTGCAAAGAAAATCCAAACACTTGACATCTGCATGTTTTCTATGTTCTAAAACATTGTTTGTGCATCTTAGTAGCTCAATATAGGAAGCTCATTCTTCACAGCATTACCTGACCCTTTGCCAGTGTGGCTCCACTGCCTTCTTGCTATTAATTTGCTCTGAAAGAAGTGAAAGAGTTTTAAGCAGACAAAGATTACACTTTTATATTTTCCTAAATATTAACCAAATCCTCTTATGAGCCTACATGAGGCCTAAGGCTATGTCTGAGCTTCTTAATAAAGTGCTTAAATAAATTGTATAATGACACTGAGAAGATACTTGCAAAGTACTGTAATCAAAGCTGTGTTTRGTGGTTGAACACTTAGGTTAGAGAGAGCAGAACTGTGAGCAATCTTTTTAGGGGAAGTCTGTTCTCTGTAGCTCTCTAAAACTGCACGTGAACACTGCAACCATAACTCTGCTACCCCAATGGGATCGTGAATATACAAAGAGCAATACTAAACATACTCAGCACATCCTGGCAGTCTAAGGGAAGTGTTTTTTCTCATAAGAGGAAGGGCCTGTTCAACCATTTTTTTTTCCACTACAGGGGRAAAAAAGCCTTCATGGATCTGAAGATCATTGCTGCTTTCAAGGAGGAGGATGAGGCAGAAGAAAAAGCAGACAGGCAACCTTTCCTTTTCATGGGCCACTTTTGCTTGCCCTCACAGCTATCAGCACTAGTAAGGAGTGTTCCCTTCACATCCTGGATGATGAGAGGAAGCATAAGACCCAAGAATTTTTGGAAGCCTCTAGCTGCTTTACTTTCCCCAGTTTCCTTACACAACTCAGGAGAGTTTGTGGTGCAACCCTGAAATTTTCTGCAGGGTGTTCCACTATGCAGCTGTTACATTGCGTTCACGGGGTTTTCTCTCTCCCCTGTCTACAAAACACCAAACCCTTGTGCCTCATTACACATGAAGATGAAAGTTTCCTAAGCTAAATAAAGTGATTACAAAGTATTGAAATCACTAAGACTTAAATGTGGGAATTACCTTCTAGATTTATCATTCAATTATTTTTCTCATTAGAACCATGGTTTTAATCTGCTAAGAAACATTAAATATTAAACAGCCAGTAAAGCAGAATAATATGTTACATTAAAATAATTCCATATAACGGGCCTAAGTACATTAGAATCCCCTTTGTCTTTTTATTATATRCATTCATTCATCCTAGACTTAACTTAAAATAGGCATCAAGTGTCAGATATAATAGTGAGATCTGGATTCTGATATAGATATTAGAACCTCTGACGCTTAGYGAGCATGTTCAAGAAAGGACAAGGAGGAAGGTTAGTTCAAGCCTGTTTTTAATTAGCTACAGCAATTAGACATTTTGAATACTCAGAATGTTGTATTAGAAATACACAATTATTTGGTTTGTTTGGTTGCTTTTCAATACACTTGAGAACCCACTCCTAATTAAGATACACACACTATCAAAGATTAAAAACTTGGATGATGGTAAAAACAATTAGAATGATGATGTATGTTTAGATTCCCCATGGTTCTTGTACAGAACTGCAAGGCAGCATTAACTGTGAGCAMATGGAATTTACTTTCTCTGCTCAAGGTCCAGAAACAGCTGCAGTATTTGTGTGCCCTATAGAGRCATGGGCCACAGTGCAAGTGTGATGCACTGGGACATGGCTGTTTTCCCTGAACTGACTGGATACACTGCAACAGCAGCTTTACCCTTTGCATGAACTGCTGCAGTGCCTCATTGCCTCTGGGTAAGGAGTTGTTTCTCTCTGCACAGGTCCTTCTTGGGGTGCTGCAACCCTTTTATCCTACTCCCAGACTGTTAGAACTCAGCAGAGCTTCTACCTG